CATAAAATTGCCAGAAATATTCATAGGATAAAATTATTTTATAAAATTTTCTGAGAAGGAAAATATACTACAGGGTGAGCATTTCTAATATGAAAAATTCAAAATCTAATATGCTCCAAAGTCCAGAACTTTTTGAGTGTCAACATAATGCAACAAATGGAAAAGTTCACACTTAACCTCCTGTGAAAAACAGGTGGCAATCAAAATGTAGGCTGCTAAATATTGTATAAAATTACATTCAGGCTCTGTATATAAGGTACATGAAACAAATGTGAAAGGCATATATGAAACAAATGAATATTGTGTTCAAACTTGTGTCCCTTCCCTGAGATATTTCATTATGTATGTGCAAATATTCCAAAATATGAAATATGAAACACTTCTGGTCCAAAGCATTTCAGATAAAGTGGTACTCAACCTAAAAAAATCAAAATTCAAACAAGATACTTGGAATATATATGATGGGAAAAAGATTAATTTCCTTAATATTCATTAAAATATCAGTGACAGAAACAAAAAAGAATAGAAACTGTAGTTCTGTGTTAAGCTGTATATATCAATAAACCAGAAGGACCAGTAATTCAGTGGAATTCCATGAAGATTATGCCCAAACAGTTCTTTGGAAAAGAAAAATGAATGGCTTATACTAAAAGATTCAGTATCTTACTCATAATAAAAGAACTGCAAAATTAAACTAAAGGAATATTCTGTTTTGTATTTTTTAGAATAGGGCAAAGTTCAAAATCTTTTTTTGCCATTTTAATTTTTTGTTTTTTCTTTTTTTCAATATTTTATTTTATATTTTAAATTTATATATGACAGTGGAATGCATTATAATTCATATTACATATATAAAGCACAATTTTTTCATATCTCTAGTTGTATACAAAGTATTTTCATACTAATTCATGTCTTTATACATGTACTTTGGATAATGATGTCCATCTCATTCCACCATCATTTCTAACCCCCTTACCCCTCCTTTTCCCTCTCACCCCTCTGCCCTATCTAGAGTTCATCTATTCCTCCTTTGTTCCCCCTCCCTACCCCACTATGAATCAGGCTCTTTATATCAGAGGGAACATTCTGCATTTGTTTTTTGGGATTGGCTAACTTCATTTAGCATTATTTTCTCCAGATTCATCCATTTACTTGCAAATGCCATGATTTTATTCTCTTTTATTGCTGAGCAATATTCCATTGTGTACATATACCACATTTTTTTTTATCCATTCCTCTACTGAATGGCATCTAGGTTGGTTCCAAAGTTTAGCTATTGTGAATTGTGCTGCTATAAACATTGATGTGGCTGTGTCCCTGTAGTATGCTGTTTTTAAGTCCTTTGGGTATAGACCGAGGAGAGGAATAGCTGGGTCAAATGGTGGTTCCATTCCCAGTTTTCCAAGGAATCTCCAAACTACTTTCCATATTGGCTGCACCAATTTGCAGTCCCACCAGCAATGTATGAGTGTGCCTTTTCCCCCACATCCTCACCAATACTTATTGTTACTTGTATTCTTAATAGCTGCCATTCTGACTGGAGTGAGATGAAATCTTACAATAGTTTTGATTTGCATTTCTGTAATCGCTAGAGATGATGAGCATTTTTTTTTCATATATTTGTTGATTGATTGTATATCATTTTCTGAGAGGTGTCTGTTTAGGTCCTTGGCCCATTTGTTGATTGAGTTATTTGTTTTTTTGGTGTTTAGCTTTTTGAGTTCTTTACATATCCTAGAGATTAGTGCTCTATCTGATGTGTGAGGGGTAAAAATTTGCTTCCAAGAAGTATGCTCTCTATTCACCTCACAGATTGTTTCTTTTGCTGAGAAGAAATTTTTTAGTTTGAGTCCATCCCATTTATTGATTCTTAATTTTCATTCTTGCACTGTAGGAGTCCTATTAAGGAAGTTGGGGCCTTATCCGAAATGATGGAGATTAGGGCCTACTTTTTCTTCTACTAGATGCAGGGTCTCTAGTTTTATTCCTAGGTCCTTGATCCACTTTTAGTTGAATTTTGTGCATAGTGAGAGATAGGGTTTTAATTTCATTTTGTTGCATATGGATTTCCAGTTTTCCCAGCAACATTTGTTGAAGAGGCTATCTTTTCTCCAATATATGGGTTTTTTGCACCTTTGTCTAATATAAGATAATTGTAATTTTGTAGGTTAGTCTCTGTGTCTTCTATTCTGTACCATTGGTCTACCAGTCTGTTTTGGTGCCAATACCATGCTGTTTTTGTTACTATTGCTCTGCAATATAGTTTAAGGTCTAATTTAGTGATACCACCTGCTTCACTCTTCCTGCTATTGCTGTAGCTATTCTGGGTCTCTTATTTTTCCAGGTGAATTTCATGACTGCTTTTTCTATTTCTTTGAGGAATGCCATTGGGATTTTGATTTGCATTGCATTAAATCTGTATAGTGTTTTTGGTAGTATGGTCATTTTGATAATATTAACTCTGCCTATCTGGGGCTGAGGTTGTGGCTCAGTGGCAGAGCACTTGCCTCCCACATATAAGTCACTGGGTTTGATCCTCAGCACCACATTAAAAATAAATTCACAAAATAAAGATATTGTGTTCATGTATAACTAGAGAAAATTTTAAAAAATTCTGCCTATCCAAGAGCAAGATAGATCTTTCCATCTTCTAAGGTCTTCTTCTATTTCTCTCTTTAGGGTTCTATAGTTTTCAATATATAGATCTTTCACCTCTTTCATTGATTCCCAAGTATTTTATTGAGGCTATTGTAAATGGGGTAGTTTTCCTCATTTCCCTTTCTGAGGATTTGTCACTGATATACAGAAATGCATTTGATTTATAGGTGTTGATTTTATATCCTGCTACATTGCTGAATTCATTTATTAGTTCTAGAAGTTTTCTGGTAGAACATTTTGGATTTTCCCCTGTAACCCTATCTACTCCTGAGACTGAGGCAAGAAGATAAAAAGTTTGATGCCATCTAGACCCTGTCTCAAAAAAGGAAATGTTTTATTAGTGTTTTATAGTTATGCATACTATTGGGATTCATTTTGACATAATTGTACAAGCATGGAGTATAATTTGTTCCACTTCAGTCCCCAGTACTTCCCCTTTCCTTTTCCTCCTCCCTCCCCCTGTTCCACTTCCTCTCCTCTACTGATCTTTTATTTTTTGTTAAAAGGCTGGACATATAGTTCAATGGTATAGCTCTTGCCCACTATGCACAATGCTCTTGATTTAGTTCCCAGTACCTGAAAAAAAGAGAAAGGAGAATGAAATATTTGACAACCTTTTTACATCATGCTTCTAAGAATGTTAGAAGAATTTTTTTCTTTTCCATTCCCAAGCTGCCCCCTCCTCCCCACCCTTTTTAGTTTTTTTTTTTTTTTTTTTTTTTTTTTTTTTTTAGGAGCAATTGAACCCAGAGACACTTAACCACTGGGCCATATCCCCAGCTCTATTTATTTATTTATTTATTTGTTATTTTGAGACAGGGTCTCACTGAATTGCTTAGGGCCTCACTATGTTGCTGAGCCTGGCTTTGAACTTGTGATCCTCCTGCCCCAGCCTCCTAAGTCACTGGGGTTTTAGGTGTGCACCACCATGCCTGGCTCTCAAGCACTTTTAAAAATGTATTTTTCCCCTAGACCTACTCACTGTAGATACACCCATTACTCAGAAAACTGCAAATTCTGAACTTGGTATAACATGACACAGCTGGTAGATATAATCATTTCCACTGAACCAACCTAATTTTGCTACAAAAGTGGATATAAAATCCTTGTTGAAATATAATATTTTTCTATCAGGAAAATATGAGAAACTTTAACATTCAGCATCTACAATTAACACAATTTTCACATCTTCTTCCTGCTTATTTAAAGACCAGAAAGGGAAAAGCAAGCATCCTTATTCTTCAATTCTGACATACTTTCTTAGTCTAAATAGAGCTTTAGACAATATGCATGCAGTAATATTTTTGTTACAAATGGTGTATTTAAAATTTAATTGTTTATTTTATACATATAAACATTTTTAGCACTCAGGATTTGATAGTTTTCTATAAAATTTTATGAAATATATCCTCCCATTTTCTACCTTATTTAATGACTTTGCTTTTATATACAACTTTTTAAATTACATAAGTAGTACCTATTTATTATAGAATACTATAAAATTACAAAGCTGTCTAAACAAGAAGAAAATAAGGCTATTTTGAATCTTGACACCAAAGAAAATGACTATAAACATCTCTCTAGTTTTTTTTTTTAGTTTTAGTTCTGTTTTGGTGGTGAAATTGGGGAGAAAAAGATTTTTTAGACAAAAAAAAAGTGGATCACATTTTTCATATTAGGAGGTAGTATAGCATCTGGGTTAGGAATTCAATCTCTAAAGTGAAACAGAAGTCTACAGTCAACTGAGTCATTGTTCCACTATTTATTAGTTATGTGAAATAGTTAATCACTTTAAATTTAATGGAGAAAATAGAGGTACCCATCTGTTAAGGTTGCTATAAAAATTATTCATGCAAACATTCCATATGTAATCTATAATTGTCTTTGAGTATCTTACATTTAGAATAACTGTAATTTTTACTCAAAATACAGCTTAAAGTTATTAATATCATCATTTTATCCACTTTATGTTTTGCTTAGTGTTTAGACTCCTTCACACTCTGTTTTGAAATAATTGTCTTTATCATTTTATATATTTAAGTACATTATAAATTAGATACCTAAAGTATCAGGAATCAGAGTTTCTATAAAAACCTATAAATAATAGTTAAAATGTTTCCTGTTTCCTATTAAAATATACTCACATCTCATTTAATTGGAGACTAGCCTAGGATTGATTTGTGATCTTTTCTTTTTTATGGTTACAAATCAAAATGTCTTCTATTTTTTCCTAAGCCAGAGTGGATTACCTGGGAGCAGTGAGCATTTCACCTGTATGGCTGCCTATCAAACTTGTAGTGCTAATTGACTAGCTATATATCATTTTTCTCTTTTTTTCTTAGGACTTCATATCATCCACAGCCTAGATGAAGTCAATTTCATACAGAACCTTGTGTTTTACATTGAAGCTGCATATAAAACTGCTGTAAGTAGCTCATTTTGGAGTGGGTTTTAAACACATGATGGTTTTGTTTTTAAAATACTAGACAATCCATCCGTTCTCTTAATGCTGTCCCTCATAGTGAACTAATCTAAAAAGACTTCTGGCAGAAATTGTATTCAGTCTCTTTCCAGAGGGTTCAGATACTATAATCTCAAACTTTCTGATATCTTATAGCATGTGTTGGTAAATCTGGGGCTAAATTATGATCTTATTTTAATGGTTTAAAGTCATAAATGGGAGCAAGATGTCTAGGGAGAATGATGAACCCGTTAGCTATGTAGAAATAAAATTTGCTCATGTGTTTAATGTTATCTGTAGGTATTAATTTAGCATACAAAAAGGTTTTTTCCTTACACCTACCATATGAGGTAACTTCATATTAATTCATTATATATAACATACTATCTGTATAAAATGTTACATTAGACACTATACAGGAATGTGGGTTTTTTTTCCTCCTTTGATCTAACATAAACAGTTTGTTGTTCTTGTTATTGTTTATTGAAGCTTTATTTATAATCTCCCAAACTGGAAATAATGTAAATGATCATCAACAGATAAATAGGTAAACAAATTACAGTTTACCCATAAAATGGAATATTGTTCAGCAATAAAAAGGAATGAACTATGACATTCATGAACAATATGAATGAATCTTAATAAAATTATGCTTAGTGAAAGAAGTTAGACACAAATTTATATACTCTATGATTACACTAATACAAAATTCTGGAAATCTATAGTGATAGAAAGCAGATATGTATAGCGATAGAAAGCAAGGGCAGAGGGAGAGATGAATTACAGTGGGTATGAAGAGCCTGGGAGAGGGATGGGCTTGTGGCCCAGTGGTAGAGCACTTGCCTAGCACGTGTGAGGCACTGGGTTCAATCTTCAGCACCACATAAAAAAATGAATAAATTAAGGTCATTGTGTGCATCTACAACAATAACAACAAAAATTTTTAAAGAGACTGGGGATTTTGCAAATGATCATTTTTATGATGACAGTTTCAGACATTTAAACGTAGGATAAAACCAAATTTTACAGTTTAAGTGTGTAGTTTTTTTGTATAATACCTCAAAAAGGATATATGAAGTTATTAGTATTTGAAGAATGCATAAGTGTAATTGCTGTAGGACCATGCTAAAGACACTGCCAGTCATTTTCTGACCTCCCCTTTGCTCTTTCAGTTTCTTACTAACCACCCTCCTCCTTTGTGGCCAACACATTTTTTTCTTTAGTGGAGCTGGGGATAGAACCCAGGGCCTCATACATGCTAGGCAAGTGCTCTGCCACTGAGTTACACCATCAGCCACCACATCATTTTTAAAAATTTTTGTTAACTGTTCCATTACCCTTCTAAGAAATTTAATTAAAAATGAAAGTGTTTATAATTTCTGGTGCTCTTTATTCCTTCATGTACATTCAAATTTCAAACTGGTACTATTCCTTTTGCCTAAAGAATTTCCTTTAACATTTCTTGTGTCTGATGGTGATTAATTATTTCAGCTTTTATATGCCTTTAATTTTACCTTTACTTTTGACAGATATTGTTACTAGATATAGAATTTTCTGTTGACAGTGTTTTTGTCTTTCAGCACTGAAAAAATTTGCTTCTTTATCTTCTTATTTGTATTGTTTCTCATGAGGACTTTGTTATCCTTGTCTTTTGTGCTCACTACATAATGAGCCTTCCTATACCTCTGCTGCTTTTTAAGAGTTTCTTCTTCATGTATGAATATATAATAATGTATAATTATAATGATCCGGTAAAAAAGATCTAAAAAATAGAGTTCCTTCTTATTTCTGACATTAAGCATTCTGATTATAGTGTTCCTTGCTTTAGTTTTCTTCATGTTTCTTGGATATATACTTTTCACCAAAAATTTTCAGCAAATACTTCTTTGTATACTTTTTTTGCCCCCTATTTATAGGGACTCCAGTTACATATGTATTGGACCACATGATGTTGATCCACAGCTCACTGATACACTGTTTATTTTTTAAATTATTTTTTTTTGCTTTCTGTTTCTCATTTTGGATAGTTTCTATTGCTGTGTCTCAACTTCACTAATCTTTTCATTCACAATGTCTAATTTGTCATGAATTCTATCCAGTGTATTTTTCATCTTAAAAAGTTTCATTTCTAGCCAGACACAGGGTGCATGCCCATAACCTCAACAGCTGGGGAGGCTGAGGCAGGAGGATTGGGAGTTCAGAGCCGGCCTCAGCAACATAGCAAGGCCCTAAGCAACTCAGCGAGACCCTGTCTCTAAGTAAAATATTTTAAAAAGGCTGGGGAGGGCTGGAGTTGTGGCTCAATGGTAGAGCACTTGCCTGGCCTGTGTGAGGCCCTGGGTTTGATCCTTAGCACCACGGATAAATAAATAAAACAAAAGATCCATTGACAACTTAAAAAATTTTAAAACAGGATTGGGAATGTGGCTTAGTGTTTAAGTGCCTATGGGTTAAATCCCTGGTACTAAAAAAAAATGTTTCATTTCTAGAAGTTCATTTTGGTCCTTCTTGTATCTTCCACATGTCCACTTAACTCTTTAAACTCATGGAATATGATTATACTAAATATTTTAATGTCTTTGTCTAAGAATTCTAAAGTCTGTCAGTTCCAGGTTGTTTTCAGTTGATGACATTTCTCTCATTAATTGGTTGTATTTTCCTGCTTCTTTGCTTGCCTAATAATTTTTTACTGGATGCCAGATATCATATATCTTACCTTGCTGCATTCTGAATGTTTTTGTTCTTCCATACATACTCTTGATTTTTGTTTTAAGATCTACTTAAGTTAGTTGGAAATAGTTTGATCCTTTATTTCTTTTTTATAAAATTTTAGTTGTAGGTGGACACAATACATTTATTTTATTTTTATGTGGTGCTGAGGATCAAACCCAGTGCCTCATGCATGCTAGGCTCACATTCTACCACTGAGCCAAAACCCCAGCCTTGATCCTTTATTTCTTTAAAGGTGTTATGTGGGTCAAGAATCATGTTTAGTCTAAGGCTAATTATTCCCCACTACTTAACCTAGATCCTTGAATATTCTAGCCATTACCCCCACAAAATGGTTGGAACAAGCACCATTTCTGATCCTATTTGAGCACCAGGTATTTTTCCCTCTTAATTCTTTTGGGCAATTCTTCCCCCAGCCTCAAGTAGTTTTCTTGCATACATACATCGGCCATTTTTCTGATGAATATTAGAGAGAAGGGACCTCTGCAGAATTCTGAGGTTCATATTCTCATTCTCTCTCTCTCTCTCTCTCTCTCTCTCTCTCTCTCTCTCTCTCTCTCTCTCTCTCTCCCCCCCTCTCTCTTCTCCAATACTGTCCTGAAAATTATATGTACCTTGGTCTCTTTGTACTCTGAGCTCCATTTACTCAATTTAGGGAATCTGCCAAACTCTGCTTGTTTTTTATTCTTTGGCCTTTCTGTACTATAGTCAGGGAATGCTTACAAACAGTAGTCTGGAGCAATCATAGGACTTGTCCTGTTTGTTACTACCTCTCAGGAATCACAGCCCTTCATTGCAGAAACTTCATTATATTGAAAATCACTGTCTTGGGCTTGGAATATGGCTCAGTGCTAGAGTGCTTGCACTGCATGAATGAGCTCCTAGGTTCAATTCCTAGAACCACACAAAAAAAGAAAAAAAGAAGAAAGAAAAGGGAAAAAAAGAAGGAAGGAAGGGAAAACCACTGTATGATAAATTGTACAGTTTTTTTTAAAGTTGTTTCTGGCAGGAGGGTGAATCTGGAATCCCTTTCTCCATATTTTCCAGAAACACAAGTATAAATGTTAGACTTTTTTATGGAAGTAGACATTATTTGTCAATTGATCACTATGCCTTCTGAGACCACAGGCTTGCTGTGGTAGAAGTCAGGATTCTTTGGCCTCTCTGTTGCATCCAGGGGTTTAGTTGTAATGGTAGACTTAATGATATTTGTGTCTTCTTATATTTTAATCTTTGCTATACAAACTAGGGCATATCTGAGTTTGGGGGCAGGTTAGCAAGCCATGGGTAAAATAGGACTTATATTCCTGAAACATCACTTTAACTCAGAGATTTGACATTAGAAAAAGGCCAGGTGCAGTGATGCACACATTTAATCCCCATGACTTGGGAGGCTGAGACAAGAAGACCACATGTTTGAGGCCAGCCTCAGCAACTTAGCAAGGCCTCAGCAATTTAATGAGACCCTGTTCAAAACTGGAAAAAAAAGGCTGGAGATGTGGCTCAGTGGTAAAGAGTCTCTGGGTTCATTCCCCAATACCAGAAAAGAAGGAAGAAATAAAAGCAATTAAATGTGAATATAGAAATAAGTAGAGATGTGGGGGAGCATGCGTGTGCATGTATGTATGCATGTACAAGCACATACATGTGTGTATACATCTTATTCTAAGTTCTGTCATGACATCCCTGTGACAATGAATACACCCAGTGCCCAGGCCTTGGATTCTATAATTTTCTAATGAAATAAATAAGGGCTCCTTTGTAGAGAAATTGATTCCAGGGCTGGGATTAATTAAAATACAAGATGAGCACCTTATAATGCCAAAAAGTAAAGAAGTGTTCAAAAAAAGAATAGGGCATATCAAAAAGGCACAGGAAAAAATCATTAATAAGTAAAATGAAAAGAAAACACAGGAGTCAACCTGAAAAAACACCTGATGACCTAACCTTGAACAGTTAACAATCTGGATAACAAAATAGTAATAGAATTTTAAGTCAAGGAAAAATATAACTATCCTGAAACTCATACCAATATAAAAAACTGACTAAATAAATAAATGAGGGAGAAGGGACAGCTCTTCAGTAGAGAAATGCAATTAATGATTATAGAAGTAATGAAGAAACTAGAAAATCTCCACTAAAACATCACTGTAATAATTGTTGTAGGCAAGATCCACCAATGGATAATGAATTAGTGGGTGGATGTTTGAGGATAAATAGGATCTTTGCGTGTTCTCAAAGTGTGTTTTTCAAGATAATGTATTAATTACAAAAGGGAAAATAGTAACAGAAGAATGCAGAAACTCAGCAGATAGTACCTTAAGAAAGTGAAGGTTAACATTCACCAGTAATAATATATCCAGCATCTTATACCTCTGATATAATGTACTGAGAAGGACACAGCATAATAGCTGCAATAATATTCCTGCCAAAAATGCATAACCTCAGTCTAGTTATGAGTAAACATCATGAAAATCCAAATTTGGAAAAATCTATAAAATATATGATCACTAATCTTCGAAAAGTGTCAAGGTCATGAAAGATAAGACTAGAGGAACCATCATTGATTGGAAGAAACTGAGGAAACATTACAAATGTGACATGGAATTCTGGATTAGATTACGGAATGTCAGAAAGGCTATTAGTGAGAAACTAATGAAATCCAAATAAAATACACAATTTGGTTAATAGTATTGTACTGCTGTTAATTTCTTGACTTTAACAATTGTACTATATTTATGTTAGATATTAAAATTGGAAAAAGACAAGTGAAAGTCATATGGGAACTCACTGTACTATTTTTGCAACTTCTATAAGTCTGAAGTTATTTCAAAGTAAGAGTTTAAAAGGTGATTTTGAATATTATTTATATTATCAAGGGGACATATATAGAACTATTATTAAGAATAGGCCTTGAGTAAGACGACTTAAACATTAATCCTGGTTCTGTCACTTATTAGCTCTGTGAACTAGAGTGAGTCACTTAATCTCTCTTTTCATCTCAGTTTCATCATCTATAAAATGTAAGGATTAAGGAAGAATAATATATAACATGCATCAGTTAGTGTGTGGTACATTATCAGTGCCCAAAGAGGGTAAAATTAAATTGGATATTTAAGATAAAGTACTGGGCTCCAACTCCTAGATCCTCTGGGTACCTGCTGTGGTGAAAATTTTTGAGAAGCATGTCTGCAGATGGACTAAGTTATAGTTCTTAGCCCTTCTGATTAACTGTTATGAAGTCTTCCAACTTTTTGTAGGCTTCAGTAGAATTTAAAGCTATAGGGAAAGTAGCTACCAGAGCCACCAACTCACTGGCATTGTGGTTATGTATATGTATGGCAGATTAGTTACTATCAATGTTTTTTATTCAAGAATTGTGCATCTAGTTAGTGTTTAGTAGTTATGACTTGCTGATGGTGTATCGATTATTGTTATGCCAGGACTTCGGGATATGGGAACGTGGAGACAAGACCAACCAAGGGATCTCAGAACTGAATGCCAGTTCAGTTGGAATGGCAAAGGTAATTTTGCTTTCTTGTTTATACAAAGTATGGGGTAAGGAAGTCTGGTGTACCTTTGCCATAGAAAAAAATTAATGAGCATGTGGACCATCATCAGATTAATTATTCTTTTAAACCACAGACAAAATTCAGATTCTCCCATGGAACTATGGGTATGTAGATAAAAACTTTTACAAGCTCCAGATTTGATAGCCAACTGCTTTTCTGGTATGCCTATACTTAAATGTCTCACAAGGATTTCAAAATACTTTAAACCCATTATCTCTACCATTACAAAAACAAAGGAAACTTTTTGTTCTTCCATGGAGCAGTTGACCAAGCTTGATATCAGAGAACCATCTCTCAATCCTCCATTCCCTTACTCTCCTCTGTCCCCCACATCATCATCATCATCATCACCACCACCACTTTCTGCTTAGCTCTGTCTTTTCATCCTATCAGCTTTTATTTTCTCTGAAAACAGTAAGACTGCATAAAATAGTATAGCAGGAATAGAATTTAATATATCCATCATGATAAATATGTATAATATGATTTTTCTACTAAAAGGCAAAGACACAGATTGATTTTTCGAATTTTATATATATTAGTTGTAGATGGACACAATACATTTATTTATTTATTTATTTATTTATTTTTAATGCCATGCTGAGGATCAAACCCAGTGCTTGACCCATACTAGTTAAGTGCTCTACCCCTGAGCCATAACCCCAGCCCCAACAGATTGATTTTAAAAAAGAAAAAAAGAAATCCAATCTATATTGGCTAAATAACAAAGGTGATACAGAAGATTAAAGACAAAAGGATAAGGAAAGTCTGAAATACATGAAAAATATCAGTGGAGCTGGGCATAATGGTGCATGCCTGTAATCCCAATGACTCAGGAGGCTGAGACAGGAGGATCACAACTTTGAGACCAGCCTCAGCAATTTATCAAGATCATAAGCAACTTAGTGAGAACCCCATCTCAAAAAAAAAAAAAAGAGCTGGGGATATAGAATAGTTGAAAAAGCACCATTTGGCTCAATCACCAGAACCAAAAAAAAAAAAAAAAAAAAAAAGAAGGAAAGAAAGAAAAAAGTGCAGGCATGACTCTATATGAATATCAAATGAAATAGACTTCAAAGAAAAAATATTACATTGGATAAAGAACACAAAGAGGATCATGATAAACTTTTTTTTTTTTGGTACCAAGGATTGAACTCATGGGTGCTTAATCATTGAGCTATACCCCCAACCTTTTTAACCTTTTTTAATATTTTACTTGGAGACAGGGTCTTACTGAATTGCTAAGTGCCTTGCTAAATTGCTAAGGCTGGCTTTGAACTCATGATCCTCCTACCTCAGCCTCTACAGCTGTTGGATTATAGGCATGCACCACCATGCCCAGCCATGATAGACTTTTAAGAGTCACAACCTATAATAAGAAAGTCTAATCTGAAATGTAGTTTCAATTAGTACACAGTAAATATATTAGATATATAAGGCTAACAGAAATAGTTATAATGTAGTAATTGAACAAAAAATATGGTCAGGCTATGATACATGCAATAAACCAAAACTGAGATCATAGAAAATTTGAATTATATAATTGATGCAGTAGAGTTAATAAATATATGTGGAACTTTGTATTTATAAATATTTATCTACTGGGTAAGCTCTTTCTTTTTAATGTATTTTAAAATGAAAAAATAGTACGGATATTAAATTTATATTTTAAAATGAGGTCATACTACACCTACTTCTTTGTAACCTGATTTTTTCATTCAGTAAATCTCGTGTCACTGAAGAGCATAACTAAACATGCTACTGTGTCATTTCTTTTAAGATTAATTTGGTCTTTTCAGTTGTTGTATAGCATTTAATAATAACTCTATTAATGAAATTATGTTCATTTTTTACTATTTCAAATAATGTTTAATTAGTATTCTTATACATATATCTTGATGAACTTGCACAAATATTTTTTATAGAATAGATTTTTTTTAAAGTGGAAACACTGAGTTAAGGGATATATACTTTAAAACTGCCCTCCAAAATTTTTTTACTAGTTTCCTTTTTCCCATCAATATATGAAAGGTATATGACATTATATGTCATATATGACCATTTTCTTCAAACCTTTATTTTTGTATATTGGACCCAAAAAGTTTTAACCACTGAAACTATTTTTTTTTCTATTTTGAAATAATTTCAGACTGGAGAACATTGTAAGAATGGTACAAATAATTCTCATACATTTTTCATCTAAGTTTCTCACTTGGTGACATTTACTTTACATTTTTCTCTAGCTGTTTAAGTGCACGTTCACACACACACACACACAATTTTTTTTCTGAGCCAGTTGAGAGTACACTACAGAAATGAAGCCCCACTACTCCTCAACTACTTCGTTGTGAATTTCCTCAAAGACTCTTCCATAACTATAATACAGTCATTAAAATCAGGAAATGAACATTGGCATTATCCTACCATCCAATTCTCATATCTCATCCAAATTTTTTTCATTGTCTCAATAATGGCATTTATGGCAAAAAAATCTTTGTGATATAGGATCCAATCTAGAATAACATATTACATTTAGTTATAATGTCTCTTTAGGCTCCTTCAATCTGGAACACTACTTCAGTCTTTACTTATCTTTCATGACCCTGGAAGTTTTGAAGAATACAGGCTGGTTTTTTTGTTTGTTTTGTTTGGCCTAGTTTGATCCTGGGAATAGAATCCAGGATCTTAAACATGCTAAGCACGTACTGTACCACTGAGCTTCCCCTCACTTGATTACCCAGCCTCGGATCAGTTATTTATAGAATGTCCCTTAATTTGATTTGGTGTGCTATTCCTTTATGATTAGATTCAAGTTATGTTTTTGGCAAGAATACCACAGAGGTGATTCTGTATCATCAAGAAGTGCATAATGTAAGTTTGTCCCATTACTGTTAAGGTTATCTTTAATCACTTAATTAAGTTGGCTTTTGCCAGAAACCTCTGCTATGAATTTGCTATTTTCCCCTTTGTTATTAATGAGTATTTTGTGCCTGGTCTACTTCCACTTACCCTTACTTTTGTTTTGAGTATCATTTCTTTAGGGAAGCATCTTTGAAACTGCCTTTTAGCCCTAAGACTAGATCAGTCCTGCCTATAATTGAGGAAATTATATTCAATCTTGCTCACAATTTAATGCAAGTGAATGCAACAGATAAACCTTTTTTATCAAATCAGGGAAAAATCAAGACACTTTTTTTTTTAAAGAGAGAGTGAGAGAGGAGAGAGAGAGAGAGAGAGAGAATTTTTTAATATTTTTATTTTTTAGTTTTTGGCGGACACAACATCTTTGTTTGTATGTGGTGCTGAGGATCGAACCCAGGCCGCACGCATGCCAGGCGAGCGTGCTACCGCTTGAGCCACATCCCCAGCCCTCAAGACACTTTTTTTTGTACAAAGGAAGGTATTGTCAAATACTTTCCTTTATTTTACTTATTTATTTTTATTTGGTGCTGAGGATCAAACCCAGTGCCTCATATGTGCTATGAAAGTGCTCTATCACTGAGCCACAACCTCAGCCCTCAAATACCCTCCTGGTAGTTATATTGGTATGACATGCATTAAAAACAATTTAGCATTATATCTCAAAAATTGATCATACCCATTGACCAAATAATTCTACTTCAGGAAAATAATGCTTACAAAACAACTCAAAATGAAAACACATAATTGTTAGCTCAACAACAAGCCTACTATATACCCTGCTATGTACTCTAGATATTAGTAAAAACACAACCCTGACCTCAAGGAATTTTTAATTTAGCAAGAGATGAAATAGGAAATGAAACTTAAGTCATTTACTTGGCATGACTGGTATTTTGAATTTAAGTTTACATAAAAAAATATGAATTGGCCAGCCATTTTGCCTTAAAACTGGCAAATATCACTTTTTCAGGAGATGTAGCCTATATGGAAAAATAAATCCATAACTCTGACACAGTTTTCATCTATCACTCAGTTGTGTTATTTGTTATTATTTTTTTTCTTTAGGCATTGGCAATTGAAACCAGGGACATTTTACCACTGAGATACATCCCCAGCTCTTTATTATTATTATTATTATTATTATTATTATTATTTATTTTGAGAAGGGTCTCACTAAGTTTGCTTAGGGCTTCACTAAGTTGCTAAGGTTAGCCTCAAACTTTCAATCCTCCTGCCTCAGCCTCCAGTGTTGTTGGAATTACAGGTGTGTGCACCACCAGGCCCAGCTCACCCAGTTATATTATTTATGAGGATAATAAGATTGATTATAAGTTTGACTATTGACCAGAAATATTGAAATAATATAATCTAGTTTAAGTACCTGTCTTAAGGATTTGATAGCCTAAACAACTTTATCAGCCTTCTCTTGCCTTCTTTTTTAAAATTATAATTATTAATGCATGTTCATTGTACAAAATAATGGTTTTGATTGTGACATGGCCATATATTCATATATTGTGCCATAATTATATTCATCCTTCCTATTACCTTCCTTTGCCATTCTCTCTCTCCCCCTTTCTCCTGGTGCATTTCCCCTTCCCTAATAGTCCCTCTTCTAGTTTCAGGTCATCCTTTGTTTGTTTGTATGTTTGTTTGTTTGAGTTTCCACATATGAGAGAAAATACTAGTCTTTCAATGTCTGGCATATTTTGCTTAACATGATGACCTCTGATACATCCATTTTTTTTTACAGATGACATGATTTCATTCTTTTTTGAGGGGATACCAGGGATTGAACTCACTCGACCACTGAGCCACATCCCCAGCCCTATTTTGTATTTTATTTAGAGACAGGTCTCACTGAATTGCTTAGTACCTCACTTCTGCTGAGGCTGGCTTTGAATTCATGATCCTCCTGTCTCAGCCTCCCCAGTCACTGGGATTACAGGCATGCACCATGGTGCCTGGCTATTTCATTCTTCTTCATGGCTGAAGTAATAAACACTTCTTTATGGAATGTGGACATATACTCTACTGTGTATATATACTATATTTTTGTTATTGGTTTATCTGTTGACAGGCACCTAGGCTGATTACATAACTTGGCTGTTGTAAATGGTGCTGTAGTAAACATGGATATGTATGTCTGTCTTTTGTATGTTGACTTTTTTTCTTTGGATATATACCCAAGAGTGGTACAGCTGGATTATACAGTAGATCTGTTTTTAGGCTTTTTAAGGAACTTCCATGCTGTTTTCCATAGTGACTGTAGTAATTTACATTTCTACCACCAGTTCCTTTTTTCCACATCTTCCTCAGCATTTGTTATTTTGCATTTTTTTAATATTGACTATTCTGAATGGGGTAGTTTGGGAATTTTTTTATTTGCGTTTCCTTGATGTTGAATATTTTTTTCATATACTAATTGGCTGTTTGTACTTCTTTTGAGAAGTGTCCATTCAGATCTTTTGCCCATGTATTGATTAGATTACTTGTTCTTTTGTTAGTTTTTTTAGTTCTTCATATATTCTGAATATTAATCTTCTATCAGATGAATATCTGGCAAAGTAGTTTTTCATAACGTGGAAAACACTTATGCTGCAAATGAATTGTAAAAAGATACCAAATGTAAT